CTGGAGGTTGGTGGGGGTGGGCAGTGGGAAGCCAGGTCTCACTGGATGCTTTGCAGATCTGCGATTTTGTCAGAGCTGACTCCAACCCCTGCAGGACACCTCGCCTGGCTCAATTCTTGTCTGTCTCTTTCTCCCCAACATGGCAGGGGCCCTCGTGAAATCTGAATGTCAGAGCTCACAGGGGCCTTAGAGATCATCTCATTGAACTCTTCCTTTCCCAGAGAGGAGCCTGAGCACCAGAGACATGAAGGGACTGATCCCAAAGTCATCTAGCTAGCAAGGGGCAAAGCTGGGATTCAAACCCAGGTTTCCACAGATGCCCAGTCTAATGCTCTGTCTATCCTGTATTCCTCCCATTCTTTTAGCTTCTTGGGGAAGTGGAGAGGAAGGGCTGTGTGTTAATCAGATGTCAGACCCCTCATACTAGAGAGAGCCTGGGAGATGAAAAGGGCCCCTCCTGCCAGCAGAGAGGGGCAGAGTAGGCCAGACCCAGGGTCAGAAGCACTGCCCTCCTCCTGATCCAGGATGAAGCACCAGAGCAGACCCTCATCAAAACTGCGCTGTCCTGACTCAGTGTTATGGGGGATACTTTCTATTCTGTCCTTCACCTTCCTCTACTCCCACCAATATCTACTGTCCTGTGTCCTTTTCTCCAGCAGGGGTCAATAGAGTGCCATGGAAAAACCACACTAGCTCTAGAGGGAGAAGATCTGGGTTCACAGTTCATTTCACCTCGTTAGCCTCAGTTTCCTCTCTTGTAAACTAGGGGATTTGGACTCTGGCCTTTCCAGCTCGAGATCAACGATCCCAGGCTTTGGTCATTTCTCACCCTGGCTGAGGGACTTCATCATACTCCTCCCCTCTTCAGCTTATTTTTATTAGATTGGAAGCTCCTTGAGGGGAAGGAATGATTTATGTCTTTCTTTGTATCTCCAGTGCTTAGCACAGTGCCTGGCACCTAGTAGGTGCTTAATAAATGTTTATTGACTCTGACTCTGCTAAGGTGATACTTCACAACCTGCCAGCCAATCCAAGGCAGCTTCTCCATCCAAGGGACATTTGCCTTTCCAGAAAGCTCTCTTGGGGAGGAAAAACCTTTAAGGTAAAAAAAAAAAAAAGAATCCATAATGGTGGAGTTCAATGTCAGGCACTGTGTCAAGCACTGGGGGAAAAAAACATTTGGGAGTATCAGAGGAGTCTTCCTGGTACCCTTCAAATAGAGGCATTATCTGTCTCAATGGCATTGATCCACCATCTCCTGTGATCCTTGGATGCTACGCTGGGTTAGTGGGCACAGACTGGCAAAAGGATATGGTCTCCTTTTACCCCTCAACCCTAGCCCCCCAGAACCAGGCATTAGCTTCAAGCAGATGGACTAGATTTACCATGTGAAGACCTGAATTTAAATACTGATTTGGCTACTTACTCTTTGTATGACCTTGAGCAAGTCACTTGCTAGAAGTATAACCTACCTACATCCACTATCTACCCCTCCATTGACCTTTGGGTCATCCCCCACTTTGATTCTTCAGAGTCATGGTGTTCCAGGATTAATGGGAGAACATTGGAGTTTAAATGATGGGATTTGGGGCCAAGGGCCATCTTGGAAGCATGGAAAGCATTGCCCAATTTGGCTCCTGAGTCGGTAGGTAAGATGCCAAAGGAAAAGGGGGCCCTTGGGGAATGATGAGGTCCTCCAGGTGGTTCTATTCTGGATGCTGTTGGGCTGATTGCATCAAGCGTCAACATTATAGTGACTCCTCATATGAGATCCATGATTTCCACAAGGTCGGCCAAACTACTCATTCGTGAAAATCTAAATGAATGAAGAATGCCTCTTGTCCAGACTATACATGAAGTTGCAAGGACATAAATCTTGGACAGGCACTGGAGAGAAAGATAAGCTGGGCTCAGAACTGAACCGGAACAGGAGAGGGTAGTCAGAACAACTTGAATGTACTAATGTCACTTAACTCCGCAATCACAGGTCGCTTGGGTTCAGTATGGAGGTAAATACAGTTCAAGCCTCTATCCATTTGCTTACTCTGGAAAAAGACCAAGCAGGAGCCATAAGACAAAATAGCAAAACACTAAATTGAGACCAAATAGGAAAACAGGGAAAGTAAAATTCAAGCAGTGGGATCGTCCTGAGTCCCCATACACAAATGACTACAATTTCACATAGACTTGTGCTAGTGGGAAAGAGAATTAATCCCTAGCAAACCCAGGTTTTATGCCTTAGTACCATGAGCCTTGCGATGAAATTCAATGTTCTTCTTACTTAAGACCATCAGGCCAATGACTGGACTTCATTGTTTCTTGGCTTGGTCCCCCACAGTCCTTTGATGTGGTCCAGGAGCTCCCTCAGGGCTACTCCTTGACTGCCCTACTGAGCCTTGGGAGTTTGCCACCCTCCTACAGAGACAGTAGCCATAGGAAGTGGCATCACTCTCTTAGCATGAGACCATTTAGGAATTGGTGTCTATGAACTTAAAAAAAAAAAGATAATTGTATTTCACTATAATTGGTTTTCTTTGTAAAGCTGTATATTGTATTTTGTTAATTTAAAAGCATTATTCTGAGAGGAGATCCGTAGGTTTCACCAGACTGCCCTTTATCCAAGCTGCCAAGCAAGACGTAAGGTGGGGAAAGTGCCAACTGGGAGCATCTTTTCTGGAGGGAATGGCATTTATTGGATGAGGCAGAGTGTGGGGCAAAGAAGTAAGACATTCCAGGCCTAGAGAACAGTCAGAGAAGGAAAGTATAGGAAATGAGAAGAGTCTAACTGGGCTGAAAATCACACACAGAGATGCTCTTTGGCATGTGTTCTCTAGGAGGCCTCCTAAAAGTCCTGTTGGACATAGGCCATTTATTTCATTTTTTGGTCCAGACCTGTGATTTCATGAAAATAGGAAACTCCAGCTGTAGAAAATACTGAGACTGATCAGCTCCTTTGTAAACTTACATCTTCAAGGCTTTCCTGGGTACTGACTTGTTCATCCATGGATGACTTGGCCATTCATGGTCACACCGCTAGTATGTGAATATGTCTCCCTGGCTCCCAGGCTAATGCTGTCCTCTGTCTGTCTGTCTCTCTCTCTCTCTCTCTCTCTCTCTCTCTCTCTCTCTCTCTCTCTCTCTCTCTCTCTCTCCCTCTCTCCTTTTTCTTCTCCTCTTCTCTCTCTCTCCCTCCTCTCTCTGTCTGTCTGTCTGTCTGTCTGTCTCTCTCTTTCTCTCTCTCTCTCTCTCTCTCTCTCTCTCTCTCTCTCTCCCTCCTCTCTCTCTCCTACCTCTCTTTCTCCATCTACACTACCTCTAAGTTATAGCAAATATAAACAAAATAAAAACAAGGGGGTTTTTTTGGGGGGGGAACTGGGGGTAGGGGGGTAGAGAGGCACAAGCACTAGTAGCTGGGGAAATCAAAGAAGGCCTCCTAGAGGAAGGGGCACAAGCTGAGTTCTCCAGGAAAAGAAGGATTCTAAAATTCTCCCCTTGGTGAATTCCTCTCAGCACCTCAGTTTTTAGGAAGGGCCCATCCCAGCCATGCTTCACTGTGGACTTTGCCACTGCACCTCAGCTGCCTTCATGTTTAGTAAATGTTTCATGTTAAAGAGTTAATGGTATCATCATGATGGATTTTGTGTAAATAGGAAGCACACTGGTGATGGCTCGGGAGCTAGAGTTGTGACTATAGATGTGTATCTTCTCACACAAATCAGCCACCTCTAGGACTCTGAGAATGAGTTGTAACAGCATGGTCACCCCAGCACCAGCCGCTAATCTGGGAAAGCCCCTCAGATTTGCCAGCATAAAGGCAGGTTGGGGGGGGGGGAATCACTTAATCTAGAGAAATTCACTGCCAAGGTGCAGTCAGCCCAGGCTACAGATATCTTTTATTTTTTACATTATATTTATTTCCAAATCTCTCCCTCTCCCTTCCCAATTCCCATTGTAACAATTTCGCATGTAACAAAGTTGTTAAAGGAAGAAGAGGAAAAAAAGAGTGGTCCAGAACCTGTATGTTGTCTGATGGTGGGTACAGCATTCCATAAGGAAGGTACATTTTCTCAATTCTTCTCCCAGGTACAAATTTCAACAAGAATTCATTCAAGCGCCTACTGTGTGTCAAGTACTCCATTAGGTGCCGGGAATACGAAGACTTAGGATAATAATAACCAGTTTTTGTGTAGTGCTTTAAGGTTCCCAAAGCTCTTGACAAATATCATCTCCATATCCTCACGACAACCCTGGGAGGCAGGCAGTATGATAATCCCCTTTGACTGATGGGGATAGGCCAAGGTTGCCCTCTCTGGTGGCCCTCCCTCTGATTGGATGGTGGAGGGCTTCTCCTAGAACCTCCATTTACCATCCATCTCTTTATTTCTTTTTTAAACAATTTAAAAAATTTTTGTACTCTCTTTCCCTATTATGTAAGAGTGTAAGCCTCTTGAGGACAGGGATTGTGTTCTGCCTTTCTTTGTGTCCTTGGTGCCTGGCACATAGTAGGCACTTAACAAACTGTCTTTTGCCTATAAATGTTTATTGAGTGACTTAAGTGACTTGTCCATGGTCACAGTTAGATGTGTCTGAGGCTGGATTCGAACTCTCGGCTTCCAGGCTCCAGATCTAATGCTCTATGCACTGCGCCACCTAGCGGTTTTCCTTAAAAAAAATTTTTTTTTTTGAAAGAAACGGCGCTGACCCTATAGAAATCCAGGTGGCCTGATTTTCTCCATTTTCTGGCTCCCTAGCTTCAGGTTAGGCTCTGCTAGAGTCCGGAGACAGACAGATCTACCGACCAACCACAAAGGCTGCAGGGGGCGGGTTCCGTAGCCATCCGTCTGGTTGGACAAACCTGGCCCCGCCTATCATGCCGTGCCAAGCCAATGAAATTCCTCCTGGCGGTGTGTGGTGGGGTCCAAGCGCGGGCCTTCCTGGTTGCTAGGACACGTGAACGCGTCGGGGGCACGTACGGAAGGAAGGGGCGGTGACGTGCCGGTGGCGTCATCACTACGCGCGGGCGCCACAGCCGCGGGCCCCGAGGGCGGAAATGGTCCGGGCGAGCCATGGCGAGCTCGGCTTCATCGTCGGTGAGGGCACCGCGGCCCAAGAAGGAGCCGCAGCCGCTCGTCATCCCCAAGAACGCAGCCGAGGAGCAGCGGCTCAAGCTGGAGCGGCTCATGAAGAACCCGGTGAGGGGAGGCGAGGCGGGGGCCGGGCTTGTCCGTCCTGACAGAGCGGGAAACTGAGGGCCGGGGAGCGCCGGTGTCTCCTTAACTGCCCTGCGACTAGGGGAGGCTTCTTTTTGGGGGGGTAGCGATCCTTTGGGGGCCAAACCCCGGAGAAGGAGTTGCCCGTGACCCCGTTTGTGGGGTCGGCGCTGTCTTCTGGGTGATAGTGAATATGCGCAGACGTGACGTTGCCAGAAAAGGCCTTTGAGGGGCCCGGGTGGGAGTCCGGGGTCAGAGAGGGAGGCTCTGTCCTGCAGGACTAAGGTCGGAGGTCAGGTGTGCATTGGGGGAGGCTGCGGGATCCCTCACGTGACACCTAGTGACCTTGGACAAGTCACCCGACCTCGAGCCTCAGTTTTCTCACCTGTGAAATGGCAGGGCTGGGTCAAATAAACTTTGTGTGGCCTTTTCCATTTCTCAATCTAGAAGCCTGAGAAATCACTTGGCCTCTGTGGCCTCTCAGGGCGCTACCACGACGTGTTGCTAAGGAAAGCTCTCCCCCGGCTTTTGGTATCGCAGCAATGGAGCTTCAGGCTGCTGGGATGGGCCTGAGCATAGTCAGGGCTTTACCGAGGTGGGAGGAGGGACCAAGCGGCCAGATTTGGGGGAGCTTGGCGGAGGGGGGCGGTCCTGGACTCTGAGGAGCAAAGCAAATGAGTTATAAACGCCTTTTTTATTTTTAAAAGTTCCAGGCAAATGTCAAGCTGTGCTTGGGATTCTGTATGCTGCACATGGCTCATCTGGTGTCATGTTTTAACATTGCAGGACAAAACTGTTCCTATTCCAGAGAAAATAAACGAATGGGCTCCAAGACCCCCTCCTGAATTCGTCAGAGATGTTATGGGTAATGAATCTGGGGTGTGTGTATGTGAATTTGGGGGATGTGTGTGTAAGCTTAGAGTTAGGATTTGTTCCTGTGTGGATGTACGTGTCTCATCCTACTACCGGAGGCAGTTTGCATGATTGGTGAGGCCTTCGGCCCCATCTCCACCTTGATCCCGCAGATCCCAGTGGTGCCAGGGGAGAGAGCCAGAAAGGCATGGCCTGGTGCAGAGGTGCCAAACACACACGTGCCCCAGAGCCAGATTAAAGTGTAATTGGGAAATATTGGACAAAATGAATAAAAACACAGAAGAACACAGGTATATGGTTTCCCAAGTCAGTAGGCAGCCTGTAGGGATCTTTATGTACAGGTTAGTGGCCTCTGTTCCGGTTCGAGTTTGATGCCACCGATACAGTGCATAGCAGGGCTGAACTTGGAGGAGTCAGGCAGACCTGGGTTCCGATTCTTCCTCAGACATTTTCTTGTTCTGTGACCGTGACCAAGTCAGTTAACATTTCTCAGCCTCAGTAAATGTAAAATTGGGGTGATAATAGCTGTAAAATCATCTGTAAAACAGAGATGATAGCAGCTCTTCCTACGTCGAGTTGTTTAAAGCACTATGTAAATGTTAACTATTACCTCTCACTAATATCTGGAAGCTTCTTGAAGGCAGGGCCTCTGCCTTCATGCCCAGTCCCCCTAAACATGACAATTGCTTTGATGCTTCTTGACCCCCAACTGCTCATAAAATGAGGAGACATGGGAAACAATCTCAGGGGCTCATATTTCTGTAGTGCACTAGCGTCTCCAAAGCCGTTTCCTCCCAACGATCTCATGATGTAAATATTGGAGGCATAATTATTCCCCTTTGCCTTCTCTGTTTGTTTGCTCTTTTCCCCAAAAAATGTTGGGGTTGAGCCGGTTGAGGCCCAGAGAGACGGCTCACTTAGAGTCACAACCAGTGAGTGTCATGGCCAGGGTTCCAGCCCAGTCTTTCCTCCCCAAGGCCACTGCTCTCTCCTTGCTGGTGATCAATACCAGTTGATAATTGATATTGGGTGTTGCTTAGACCTGTAATGAGAATACCATCATTTTGCAATCATCCGGTTTCTTTTCTGCTCTCTCTCCTTCATCCCCCAAAGCCAGTCAGTTGCCCACATCTCTTGAGACTTCTTCCTCTGCCCTCATTCAGGCCTTTATCACTTTTTATCTGGCCTGCTGGAATACTGTTCTACATCTCTAGTGTCTCCTCCCTCCCATCTTCCCCACTGCCAACCTGTGAGCATTGGTGGCTTGGTTTCAGCAGTGGGCCTGAATGTTTCCATCTTGCCGTAGGTTCGAGCGCTGGTGCCGGCAGTGGGGAATTTCACGTCTACAGGCATCTGCGACGAAGAGAGTATCAGAGACAGGACTTCATGGACGCCATGGCTGAGAAGGTTGGTCAAGGCTCCCAGCGAGGCTCATCTGTTTGGCCACCAGTGGCCTTGGTGTCCTGCATCTGGGCCAGAATCTATCACAAAGAGGCCAGGGTGTCTCAGGTGGAATTTTACGTGTAATTGGAGGTGTCACATCTGAGGAAACACACCGACCAGCTGGAGAAGCTGGAGCTTGGATGAGGGTGGGGGAGGTCGTGCCTCTAGTCAATATCTGAGGGGCTATCCTAAGAAAGAGGAATTAGCCTTGTTTGCTTGGCTCTAGGGAGCATAGTTAGGGAGAGCTCTCTAAAAATAACAGAGAAGGGTTTGGTGTGACCTGCCCGTGGGGGGGCACATGAGTTGTTATGTTGAGAGGAGGCATGAGTGAGAGAGCTAACTGGAACCAGTTGTGGAAAGAACAGGTTCTGAGTAACACTTTCTCTGGGTAAATTACTCCTGAGGAAGGAAACAAGTATTTATTAAGCCCTTACTCAGTGCCAAGCAAAAAGAAAGACAGCCCCTGCCCTCAAGGGACTTATGTTCTAAGAGAGGAAGGGCTGACGAGCAGGAGAATGGAGGAGTGAAGGTCATGGTTATGAAGCATAGAGAGTTAGAAACAGGTCCAGAAGGGGAATGGAGGCAGTCTGGAGGAGCCTACCCGGAACTGGGGACCCGGGAAGGAGTCACCAGTGGGCAAAGGGGGCAGGCCATGCTTAGGGATATTCTAGGGCTGGTAGGCAGTCCAGGATAGGAAGGCCCCAGAAGCTGGGGGGGGAGGGGGGCGATGGGGAGAGAAGAAATCAGTGAGAGCATTTTTTTTTTTAATGAATGAATGAAGAAGCATTTCTTCCATGCCAAGCACTGTGCTGGACATCAGGGATGCCTGTAATTGCTTGTATCCAAGTTAGTGAGTCTATACATTGAGTAGAGCCATGGTTTGAAGTCTATAAAGTCAGGAATGGGGCATGGAGGGGAGTGAAGGCAAGCTCTCCACAAAATGGAGGCTCCAGGGGGATCTTCATGAGTGGGAAAAGTGGGGGGTGGGCCCAGCAGAGAGATCCCAGGGTGAGCAGGCCTTCAGGGTGGTAACCATTCTAGGTGGAGAGACCTGGGGCCTCCTTATTAATTATTCCTTAGCTGGAGCTGGGGTTAGGGGTTAAAACATAGGTGGATTTGTGATCTCGGCTCTCTGGGTATTCCCCCCACTTCATTCCTTCCATCCTGGGAAATTCTCTGGGGTCTTTCCCTCAGTCCTTTATGGAAGACCCTGTTTAGTGTGCTGGAGACCTTTTTGTATTTGTGGATGGCAGTGCCACCCTCAAGTGAACACCCATTAAACACCTGCTATATGTCCATTACTCTTGCCATGAGCTGGAGAAACAAAGGCAGATGCCGGGCAGATGTCTTGTGCTCCAGGAACTCACTTCTATTTGGGGACACAAGAGGCACATATATGGGAAGATGACAGTGATTGGGGGGGGTATGCTAGCAGTGGGATCCATTAGGAACAACTTCATGCAGAAGGTAACCTTTGAGGCAGCCGTGGTCAGGAGGGAAAGCCTTCCAGGGCCAGAGGCCAGGGCAGAGGCACAGACGGAGGCACTGTGGAGTGGGTGAAGGGGCATCGTGTGTGTAATGCTGGAATGATCAGTCACCCATGATATCAGTCCACAGCCGGGTGCGCCTCCCTTGGGCCCGCCGGGGATGTCTTGGTACACCCACATCATTGCATGTCATAGACAACATTCACTTTGTGCCCCCCTCAGCCTTTCCCCACCCACTGGCCTTTGGGTTAGAGATTCTCAGCCAGCGTCGCCTGGACCTCTTGTGGCCTGGAGCCCCTTTCTGAAATGGGACCCAAGGCAGTCTTCTCCTCCTCCTCCTGCTCACCTCTGAGCCAGCCTAGAGGGACTCCACAGAGGGTCCCTTGGACCCTCTGGTTCATTTTCCCCTTTGTATTTTTTCTTACACATTTGTTAGTAATAGCTAGCGTTTACATAGCACTCATGCATTACCTCATTTGGTTCATATAACCACCCTGTGAAAGTAGGTGATATTGTTATTCCCATTTTACAGATTAGGAAATTGAAGCAGAAGTTAAGTGATTTACTGTAAGAGTCTGAGGCTGGATTTGAACTCGGGTCTTCCTGAGTCCAGTGCTCTATCCAGCAAGTCACCTTGCTACCAGGAAATAATCATCGACCAAATGGAGTTCTAGTGACCTGAAAGAATTTGTTCACCTTGGGAAAAGACCTTGGCCCCCCAAGCTGCCTTTTGTATGAGTCCCCTCAAACTACTATAGCAATGCCGCTTGAAAAGGCATCATGTTAGAGCTGGGTTTGCGGTCAGAGCACCTCAGTTTGCGTTCGGCTTCTGATCTGTGCTTGTTTTCTGACTGTGGGCAAGCCCCTCTTCCTCCCTGAGCCTCAGTTTCCAAATCTGTAAAATGGGGTGGTAATAATACATGCACCTCTTAGCTCCCAGGGCAGTGGTGAGGAGGGGCCTGTGTCAGTCACCACAGCATGCCCTGCTGCTACCTACACGTGAGGATGTTTCTAAAGTGACGTTTTCTTTGCAGCAAAAAATGGATGCTGAGTTCCAGGAGAGATTGCAGAGGAATAAAATGACGGCAGAGGAGCAAACCGCGAAACGTCGGAAGAAGCGGTAAGAGACTTCCCATCGGACCGTGGGCTTTGGGCCGGGAAGCAAAGAATTGTTGAGGTGGCTCCTGCAGGCCCCTCGAAGGTCTAAGGTCACTCCGGCAGTAAGTCAGACAGTAATCATGAAGGGCTGAGTCTTCAGGGAATGGGTGCATCCTTCCTTGTGTTTAAAAATGAGGCCTTAGCCAACTAAAGGGACCAGAAATATCTCAGAGTTGGGGTTGGGAGATCTTGGGAGTGAGTGGAATCCAGACCAGAGCCTGGCTTTTGGGGTCAGAAAGCAGCCGGGCATTCTGGGTTAGCATTTTCCAAACTTGGCTGTGGAACTCCCAGTTTTCCGCTTGATGTGAATGGGATTTCTGGAGAAAAATCTCAGTGCTGGAGAGATTACTTTCCCCTCTAAAATATTAAATTGTAGGCTGTATACGAACTCTTAATACATGTAGCAATTTCTCAGTATGAAAATGAGCTAAATTTCTTCTCCACAATCTCTCTAAACTCTGTCCTCCCTGGGGTGTTTCTCAGTGTAAGGGCTGCTGTGGCTGGGGAAGGATCGCAGGTCAGAGTGCCAGTCTGCTGCCTGATATCTGGGGAACCTTGGGCAAGTAACTCATCTTTCTGAGCCTCAGTTTCCTTATCTGTGAAGTGAAGAGGCTACTTACCCACTTCCCTCTTGGAGTTATCGTGAGCATCAGATGAAATGGTGTGTGTAAAATGCTTAGGAGCAGTAAAGCACGGACTTGCCTGCCTCCCCTCTGTCCCCACTCCAGGCCATCCTCTGTTCTACCACCAGTGGTCTAATGGTGTCAGTCCCTTACTCAGTAAACTTTGGTGGCTCCCTATTGCCCTGGGATCAAATACAGAATCCTCTGTTTGGCATTCAAAGCCCCTCATCACCTGGTCCCCTTCTCCCTTCCCAGTCTCTTACGCCCTGCTCTCTAACATGTGGCCTTGGATCCAGAGACAGACTCCATGGCTGTTCCACAAACTAGACCCTCCGCCTCTGGACTTCAGGCATCCTCTCTGGAATGCTCCCCCACCTCTGCTCTGACTACTGCCCTCCCTGGCTTCCTCTGAGTCCAGCTAAAGTCCCACCTTCCACAGCCCCTCTTCATTCTAGGACCTTCTCTGTTGATCATCTCCTACTTTTCCTGGATAGAGCCTGTTTGTACGTATCTGTTTGTGTGTCATCTCCCCCCTTGGATTGTAAGCTCCTTGTGGACAAGGACTGGCTTTTGCCTTGTTCTGTATCCGCAGCACAAAGCTCAGTGTCTGAAGCATAGTAGGTACTTAATAAATGTTGATTGACTGATGTAAATGTCGTCTGTTACTCACTGTTGTTAAGCGCTTAACTGCTGTCAGGGTTGTGCTGAGTGCTGAGGACACAGAAATCATTGTTGTTTTCTGTCCCCAGACCTCTGAGCCTGTCGCTGCAGGCAAAGCCCCAGTTGTTCTGTACCTTTATTCATTTGGGGAGCAGTGTTCGAGATGATTAATTGAACCGTCAGTGCACTTACTTCTGCTCGTGCACGCTTATTTCTGTATTCTCTTCATTGTTGTATTTTTAAAATGCACACTCTGGTCAGTAGCAGGCAAGCCTTAAATGTTTCAGAGCCTAAGGACTCTTGATACTTAAAAATACTCAAGGACCCCAGATTTCACCTCTGGGTCTTACCTAATTATCTGAGAGGAGGAAGGCACTGGAGGCCAGGGAGCCCTGCCCCCATCGTGGCTGTGGGGGGGACGCCAGGCCAGAGACCTCGAGGCGCCTTGTCCCGGCTCAGGGCATCTTGGGAAGCTTCTCCTGTGTGTGTTCTGAGATCCCACAAGGAAAGAGCAGGTGCAGGGTCCTGCTTTCTGAAAGGCTTAAGAAGTTTTTAAGATGCCAGTGACCCACAGAAGGTTTCTCTTTTCCTTTCCAGTCAGAAGTTTAAAGAGAAGAAGTTACTGGCCAAGAGAGCTAAGCAGGAGCAGCAGAAGCTGAAGGAAGGTAGGTGCTGGTGTCTCGGCGGGGCAGGCCCCAGACACACCCTCCTAAGGGGAACAGGGAGCCTGGTGAGAGATAACGTTGTTTGGGGCGTCTGGCCCGAGGCCGTCATGGGTGTTTTCACAGGGGTTTGGTTTGTGTCTTTTTCTCTCCTGAATATGCTCCAGTTCCTGGATCAGTAGTTGTGATGCTTTCATCATTGTTGTTCTGTCTTTTCTCAGTTGTGTTTGACTGTCTGTGATCCCATTTGGGCTTTTCTTGGCAAAAATACTCGAGTGGTTTGCCATTTCCTTCTCCAGTTCATTTTACAGAGGAGGAAACTGAGGCAAGCAGGGTGAAGTGACTTGTCCAGGGTCACAAGGCTAGTGTCAGGTCCTCCTCATTCCAGGTCCAGTGTGCTATCCACTGTGCCTCCTAGCTGCCCTGCTTTCATCTTAGACCAAAGAATTTTGCTGATTTTATGCAATATCATCTACCCCTTTCAACTCCCTAGGAAGAAAAACTCCTCTCCTAAAGCCTTAGATTTAGAGTCATAAGAGCTGGGATTTGACTTTGCCCCTCTGGCCTCGGTGACCCCTTGTTGTCCTTTTCTCTCAGAGACTCCGCTGGCCTGGGAGTTCTCTCTAACGACACAGATCACACACTGTCCAGTACATGTGGGTGTGCAAGCATGTGTGAGAGTGTGGGTGTGTGAGAGTATGTAAACATGGGTATGTGTGGGTGTGCAAGCATGTGTGAAAATGTGTGGGTATGTGAGAGTGTAAGCATAGGTGTGTGAGAGGGCATGAGTGTGTAATCAAAGGGTGTGAGATCCTCGTAACGTTCTGTGGGGTTGGGAGGGGTACGTGTCGGGCTGGCATTGCTTTGGGTCTGGGCACTTTGGCATCCCTCAGACCTGGGATATCTTTGGTCCCTGGATGTCCTGACACTGGTGTCCCCCCAGCACAGGCCTCCTCTGTGTACCTGGGTCCGGCTCAGCTGCTTCTCTAGCTCGTTCTCATTCTCCTTGGCACCATTCCCTGTTCCCCAGGCATCGTGTCTGCAGTTGCAATGGTGAGGTCTGAGTGGGGCGGTTCCCCTCACCTTAGTGGAGGAAACGGTTCAGCTCTGTCCCCTTTTTTTCCGTTGGTATTTCTCTGTCAGTTTTCAGGCTTACTCACCCCCGGGTGACTTCGCTGGGGTGGGTGTCGAGGCTGCTGCTGGCCGAGTCGAGGGGGCCAGCTGCTTCCCCAACTGCTCTAACGCCTTTATGCCTGTGGGAGCTCGGACCTACACGTGGTTAACGTGGAGGAGGGAAGAGGCCGCCACACTTGGTGCAGAGCTCTGGCTGCTTCCTTGAGATCCTGATCTGGCAGCTAGGCAGGGGGAATTGTATTTTACATGCTTTTTGTTCTTAGATTGGGTGCTTCGGATGCTTAATTCTTAAAGCAGTTTTTAATGGGCTTTTATGGTTCACAAGTGCCTGTGGCATTTTTTGGTAAAAACCTTGAACCTGCTCGAGGCTCCTGCAGAGCCAGACTCCACTTTCCGTGCCCCTGCTTTATGCGAGCTGCCTGCTCATACTCATCCTTTGTGCTTCCACAGAAGATTTTACAGAGGAATTTGTGGTCTAACCTGTTGTTGCATTTGGCAGGCGTTGGGCATGTGCCGACTACAGAGTGTGCTGGGTTCTTCTGTGCCTCTGATGATGATTAATTTGCATTGGCCTAATTTCTGGATGAAATTATCGTAGTCACTGGTAATGTCCTATCTGTTGTCCATTTGCCAATTTAAAAATTCATCAGTAGCCTGTGTAAATAACTTAGGGTTATATTTTAGTTTTCATGCTGTAGCAATATACAATACATACAGACATATATACATACACATACATTTAATTACCATCTTTTCTTGTTTATTATAAATTCTGATCTTAGCTCTGACAAGTTGATGGTGTCACTGTGCACAGACGGCTCAGGGATAACCCTGCTATCCATAATAAGTCTTTTTCTTATTATATAGTCTTTCTTATGTAGTCAGTTTCATCATTCGTGGTGGTGTTTGGTGCCCACCATGTTTGGCATCTGCCAAGTCTGTTTTTGAAGAAAGTGTTCGTGACAGAGACGTGAGGCTTCTGTATAATCTACACATTTTTGTCCTTCCTTATTTTTTTCTCTTGAACTGCACTTTACTATCTTTTCATTTAAATCACCGAGTATCAGAGCATATCATGGTTTGATTTGGAAGTTCTTATCAAGTTTTCTGGGCAGCTAGGTGGTGCAGTGGATAGAGTGCTAGGCCTGGACTCATCTTCCTGAGTTCAAATCCAGCCTCAGACACTTACTACCTGTGTGACCCTGGGCAAGTCACTTCATCCTGTTTGCCTCAGTTCCTCATCTGTAAAATGAGCTGGAGAAGGAAGTGGTGAGCCACTCCAGGATCTCTGCCAAGAAAACCCCAGATGGGGGTCGAACGACAACCACCAATTTTCTACAAAATGCAACACTGTTCTTAATAGCCAATGTTGGTATAGTTGTTTTCATGGTGATCTTTTTCTCAAATACTTTCCATTAGGACTGCAATATATAATGAGCAGATATCCCCTGGAATATTTCTTATAACTTTTAGGCATAGAACAAAACCCATTCTGCCAGCTCCTTTGCCTTTTGAAAGAATGCCTGTGAGCCAGCCTTTCATTTAATTGCGACTTCTGTCTTCTGGTTTTATAGATGGTGAGAATGCCCAGATTGAGAGGAGTCAGGTCCTGTAGCACTAGTGTGTAGACTCGTTGGTCTTTGGGCAGGGATACCACATTTAGAGATCCAGCAGTCCTATTAAAGTTTTGGTGAATGTCTAAGAACTGTGATTATTTCCTGCAGCTCTGCTAACATCATCAGAGAACAGGGATGCAAAGGACTGAAGGCCATGTTAACGTTTTTCTTTGTTTCATGGGTTACTGTGGACCAAAAATAAATTATCGTCATGTGGCCAGCCTACTGAGTGCTCTGATTGGGACTAAGTTTGGTCCTTGGAAAACGCACTACATCTCTTTACAGAGCTAGCCTCAAAGCCTTTCCAGCCAGAAGGGCTGGCAGTAGACTCTGCAGAACTCCCCACAGTGCACCCACTGGCATACCCTTCATGAAGGCCAGGGGTCACCTTGGCATGACCGTGCTGATCCTTCATCATAGGACTGGTGAGCCTGCCATGCATCGTGGAGGGCAAGATTCCATTTCTCTTTGATTCTTCTCGTCCCCCGGTCTAGTGGCTGGGTCGTGTTTTTTTTTTAAGGAGAGTCAGATGAGTTGTACTTGAGCTCCTACAGATTGAAGATTTGAGGTTTTTTCTTTTCCCTTAAATGCTCACATTTCTAAATACTTATTTAATATTCCATTCTAGAATTTCACTTCGGTTCACATTTATTGGTCTGTGGTTTCTGCCTCTTTTCCTCCTTTTGAAAATCAGAGCATTTAACTATCTGCAGTTTTCTGAAACTTTTACAGGTTGCTGTGAATTCACAAAAATTAGAAAGAGTGGTCCTGTGGTGATCCCATTTTCAAGGTCTTTCGGTACCTTGGAGTATATTGCTTATGGAGATTTGAGCTTATTTGAAGTTATCAGTTCTTTTCTTACTCTTTTCTCTCCTCCCTTGGGTTTCAGTTTTCTTGCTGTTACTTGTGGTTGGGGATACATAGAGAGGCGTAAGTATAGTCCCTGCCCTTACAAAGTTTCTCATCTAGTTGGAGAGATGGAACACCTGCGTCCAAAGATGAAAACAACCCAGTAGGCCCCGTAACAACCATCCCGCTGCTCTGAAACTCCCCAGTGCAGCCTTCCTCCCTCCGGGGGTCGGTGAAGAGGCCCCCAGTAAGGCATGTCACAGCACCTCCACCCCTGCCGTTCTCATGTCTTCTACAAACCTCCCTGGTCATGGTGCCTTCCTCTGGTTCTCTGGATGCTGTGCGGGTATTTGTGCAGCTCACAGGTGCTCACACTGTGTCCCTGGCCCTTCTTCTGCTCCTCTGCTCCTCTGGTGTTGTCTTCAACACCACTTCTTCAGTCTTATCCCTGTCCTACTATATTGCAGCTACTCCCTCCCGCCATGGGTTTCTCCCTTTGGGGGATCCTGAGCTTCCATTTTCGGAAGCTCGGAATCTCCAGCACCAGCCACAAGAGTCTTATCAGAAGAACGCAGGCATTCAAACTTTGGAGAGAAGCGTAAGGGACTGGAGGCATTGTGTGTGGCCATGGCCCAGCACGTGTGGTGACAGAGCATGCCTATGGCTGCTGGGTACTACCCATACCTCCTAGACAGCACAAGACGGCATCTCCATCCACTTCTTCATTTGAAAAAGTCACTCTTAGTTTCCTGTCAGCTCAGTTCTCTCCCTCCCACCTGGCCCTTCCCCACCCTTTAAGAAAGCAACAAAGCAAAATCCCACATTGGCCATGTAGAACACACACGCACACACATGTCAGTCTGTCCTCTGAGTCCATCATTTCTCTATCAGGAAGTGGGCATATGCCAGTCCTCTGGAATCGTGACGTGTCAGTGCCAGTCAGAGTTCCTACGTGTTTCAGAGATGTTTGTTCTACTCACCTCACTTTGTACTAGTTGGTAGGTTCTTCCCAGGTTTCTCTGAAACCACTCCTTCATCATTTCTGGCAGCCCAGCAGTATTCCATCACCCTCATATACCGCAGCTTGTTCAGCCATTCCCCAGCTGATGGACAGGCGTCCCCTCCGTTTCCAATCCTTTGCCTCCACAAAAAGAGCAGCTAGAAATACTTTAATACATATAGGTCTTTATCCTCTTTCTTTGATCTCTTTGGGGTCCATCTCCCTGGGTCAGAGGGTGTGCACAGTTTAATAGCTTTGGGGCCATAGTGTCAAGTTGTTTTCAGGATGGTTGGACCACTTCCTAGCCCCTCCAGCAGTACAGTCATCTGCTTGTTTTCCTCTAGCATTTGTCATTTTCCTTTTTTTGTCAACTTTGCCAACCTCAAGAGTGTGAGGTAGTACCA